GTGCATGACTAAGGAGTGGTTGGCTGGAATAAACCAACACCTGTTACTCTTCAGCCGAAGTAAGTGCAAGGCTAAAGAGTGGTTGGCTGCCATAACCTGTCGGAAGTGGCTCACATGCATGTACGGATCGGTTTTTCCGTCGTAAAGTGTGAACTTAGGCTGGTGGAAGCCTGCTGGAAGCGGCGTTGTTTCTATCTCCAGGGAAAAAGGAGTGGCACTCAGCCTTGCCAAGTCTGTATCTTCGAATATTGGCATTGCTGGGCGGGGTGGAGGCATTCCGACCTCCTCGCTGCCGTGAACCCCGTAGGAGAGCCGCTGGAAAGCAGGTATTCTCTGAGCTTCGCGCCGGCGAGCCCGCTCCCTTAACACTGCCCGTAGATCCTCTGACTGAGCAGAATAAGAGTACCTCGACGTCGTCGCCGGACGTGAGGGTTTGTAAGTGCTGTCTTGCGCGCTAGACTTTTCTGCACGCATGTCGGAATCACCAACCTGGTAACTCCTGGTGATGGAAATGGACTGAGTACGTCGCTGACTCTGATCGCCTGACCGGCGGGATGGGGTGCGCTCACTGTGGTCTCCCACCCCAACTACACCTTTCCCTTTGACATGCCGCTTAAGATCCTCCATCTCCGCCGCCATCCGCCTGATGACAGCGTCTTGGTCTCTTAACTTGCTTTCCAATCGCCTGGCGTGTGAGTCTCTCCGCCGGTGACCGTCTGGACTCCGTGAATGCCCATGACTCCTTCCGCGCTTATCCCGCGCGTCACCTGACTGTTCTCCAGTGGGCGTCCCCAAGTCAGCCATTGGATGGACGGCAGGTGGTCCCTCTCTCCTTCGGGTATACTCCGGGGTGGCTCCATCGATGGCGGACAACGGGAACTCGTCGTTGTTTGCCATGGATGGCGATCAGATGAACCTGGAAGACAAGGTTTTGTCTGAGAACTTCCCACAGACGGCGCCAATTGTACGGGGAGCAAATATTCCGGCGTGCCCGTATTCCTTTCTTCCGTGCTCCGTCGATATCCGATCACCTGCGAGCAAATAACGGTGAGCTACCCGGCGGTGTGTGGCCGGAAAAACCCTCCGACGGTCAAGTTAGCACACACCTTAGAGGGAATAGAGAGAAGGGAGAGAGTGTTTGAGTGTAAGAAATCCTTACAGATGTGTTCGTGTGTCGCGTATGGGGGGCGCAGACATGCTTATATACCTTCTGAGCCCCATATCCACTCCCTGTCATCTCCTGACACGTGGCTCTGCTATCCCATCTGTCAGCATAAACCATGCCATTCATCACCTGCTCTCAACTGCCTGTCAGCACAGCCGGAGCTCAGCAGCCGAGCTGCCCTACCTCGGTCGTACCATGCTTCATACCTTAAGCGCCTAACCGGATAAAGAAATGAAGGACCGGGCTAGGCGGCATCTCGTCAAAGCCTAGCCCGGGCTCCTCCTTTGGTCGGCCTTCTCGCCGGTCAATCAACTACCTCGGCTGACCGCGCCTTTCCGAGCGCCGGTCTCTCGGTCTGTCTGGTTTCGACCATCCTCGGACCGAGCATCCTGGTCTGACCGGTCACTTCCTGGCCGAGCAGCTTCTGCACGGTCCGGGGTAGCACACACTCAGTCCAAACTCTGCCCGGCCCAAGTTCTGGTAGCCCATCTCCGGGTGAACAGTCGATCAGCTCGGCCCAATGCTCTGCTGGGCCCTCAACTTGCTCGGTCTATTCCTCGGCCCAACACCGGATCATAAATCACCCTCTCAGTTTGTCCTTAATCCCGTCCGCGAAAGCGTGACTGGGATTATTCACTCCAGATCACAATTCACCCTCTCACTAACTGATGAAAAAAATAGAGCATGAGATTAAATATTTTTATCATTCTACTTATTAGTTTGATTCAACTATCTAATAAAATCGAGAATATTATCAGTTTTTTTTTTTTCAGTTTTAAGACTAAGAACATTATCAATTTTTTCAATTTTAAAGTTTTTTTTTTTGCACATCAATATTCCATTATCATGCTCCTTTGTAGATACAAAATTTTCAGTTTTTCACCAAAAAATAATTCAATTTTTTCCAAAAAAAAAAAAAAATTGCGCATATATATAAAAAAAAAATTTGTGCATAAATTTTTTTTTTTAGTTTTTTCCAATTTGAAAGTTGATGTTTTAAAGTTTTGAAAATCAAAATAAATGTCAAATCATCATGTTCTTTTATAGATAATTACAAATGATGAACAATTATTGTTTATAGGATAATTCTGACTATTAAAAATTTAATAGTACTTAAAGTCCAAAAAATCTTAATTAGGACTTAACGGAATATAAGTTTATAAATTATGATTTGTGTGTAAATGCCACTAAAAATAATTATAAGTTTGATATAATTATATTAATTTCTTTTCTATTCGCGTTAGACTAAAAGGATTAAAATTAATATAAATGATTAAATCTCTATAAAAAGGATAATAATATTATTTTTTCATTCATATCATTAACAAGCTATGAATAAGTGTTGTGTGAATAAAAATTTGAAAAAAATTTAGTGTAATTATACTAAATATGTGTACCTTCATATATTTTTTGCAAATTTAAAAAGAAATTAGTGTAATTTACAAAAGATTAATGATTCATTCATTGAATTTGTTTATCTCGAAGTCGGTCGAATGAGTTTTTTTTTGGGAAAGAGAATCGCACACGATTGGAAAGAAATTTAGTGTAATTGTACTAAATTTGTGGACCATATATTTTTTACAAATTTAAAGAGACATTAGTGTAATTTACAAAAGATTAATAATTCATTTACTGAATTTATTTAGCCTAAATCCACTCGAATGAGTTTTTTTTCAGGAAAAGAATCGTGCACGGAAGACTCTTTCTTAGTAGAGATTCACGCTAAATAAATTTGGTGAATGTTGTTTACAAAACGATAATAATAAATTAATAATAATGATAATGAGATTCTATCTAAAAACAAAAACAAAAAAATACAAATTGATAGAGATATTCGGAACGACGTCGTTTTATTCACCTTCTTATCCTTCTTTTTTCACCAAGTGAAAAGCCCGACCGTGACGCCCCCTCCCTCCCTTGTGAGGTCTCTCTCTCTCTCTCTAGAGAGCTTCCACGATGCTGTCAATGAAGATTAAACCGAGTGTGAGTTGTACTGGCTCTTTCAAAACCTACACATTTACATATCCCTCTCCGAACCCAATTGCTAAAATTCTCGTCATTAATTCAATCTTGGCGACTCCAAAGGTCTATCTCATTCAATCACCGACGACGCTTTCTAATCTCAAATTCAATCGCCGCGCGATAATAAACACCAAGCTCTCTGCTTCTTCGGCATCCGCGGTCCAAGCATTTGCAGAAGAAGAAACACCCACCGAGGACTCAACCTCATCAATTCAACCTCAAAAGGAGGAGGTTATTGATATACATGTACATATTCCAACATTCCTATTACATACTCATATCATATATATACATTACTTGAATCTATCTCTTACTCTGACTCTGACTCTGACTCTGCTTCACCAATTTTGGTTTTCCTCTTTCACTCTCTCTCTCTCTCTCACACACACAAATTCTTCCACTTGACATTTTGGTTCATTTGAATTTTTTATTTTTAATTTTCTGCTTTTCATTTGTGCTATCTTGATTTTGTGGAACCAAAAGAGCAGTGGTGAAATTGATAAAGAATTATGTTTCCAAATGCATTTCTGATAGTTGATTATTTGCATTTATTGAATTTGTAGAAGCTTGGAGTGGTTGTGAAGCCACCGCAGAAACCAAGCCTTGTGTTGAAGTTTGTATGGATGGAGAAGAACATTGGTCTTGCACTCAACCAAGTGATTCCAGGCCACGGCACAATTCCTCTGAGTCCCTATTACTTTTGGCCTAGGAAAGATGCTTGGGAGGAGCTCAAAGTAATGCTCGAGAGTAAGCCCTGGATATCTCAGAAACAGATGATCATTCTTCTTAATCAGGCCACTGATATCATCAATTTGTGGCAACAGAGTGGTGGCGATTTGTTGTAAGGTTTATTTTAGGAATTTTCATGTATTTTGTGTAATTTGTTGCATTATTATTGTTATTGTCTGTTGATGTAAGACATTGTTTGGAGATGATGTTACTTTGTCAACAATTAGGATATGCGCATTGTTATCAGTTTTCTGTAGTTGCCCCCTCATCACCTCATCCTTACCTTAAGTTGCGTTTAACATAATTTTTTACATGGAGCAAAACCCGTGTACTAGAATAATTGTGACTATGCATGCAGATCCCATTAGATATTTTCAAGCTCAAAGTTTCGAGTAGTGAGCTTAAGGATTGAAAGATTCTACACTTTTTTGTGTTTGAATTTGAAAGAAGTTAGGAAGTTGTCCTAACTTTCTAGATGGAAACCCATCTGTATAGTGTTTCCCTCAGAAGGGAAAGGCTACAAGATTGGGGTACTGATATGCTGAACATGAGATTCCCCTCTACCTGGATGACTCGTTAAGATATCTGCATGGCCGGTGAAATAATAATTGGAGAAAGTGAGAGAAGATAGAGATGAGCGAATAGAGAGAGAGAGAGAGAGAGAGAGGCACAATTGTTTCTATGAATTGTACATGTCTATTACACAAAGAAGGCACTCTATTTATAGAGGATGCCTTGGATGCCTATGAACAATAACATAATGCTACACTAACATAATGCACTAACATAATGCTACACTAACATAATGCACTAACATAATGCTACACTAACATGATAATGCTACACTAACATAATGCACTAACATAATGCTACACTAACATGATAATGCACTACATAATGATACACTAATATACACTAACAGCCGGTATATAGCATTACATTTGACTACATGTAGGACTTCGAGTGAAAAAGGTGAGAATCATAAGTACTCCGAAGGATTTGAAATTCGTTCAGCTTCTTTCAACATCCAATGAAATAAAATATCCAATCTATTACTCTCATTCTTTGATTGTTGTAAATGTATGTAGCCATAAGCCATATCATCATACACATGAAGAAAGAGAAGCAAGCATGGAATCGATGCTTTGGCTCTGCAATGGTGGGTAAATAGTTATTTTTTAAATATATTTATTATATAAAGATGAGTTAAATAGTTATTTTTTAAAATATATTTATTATTTTTCTATCTTATGTATTTTTTTTATTGATAATATTTTTAATTTATTTATATAATTTATTTTTTTATTTTTAATTGATATATGTTATAAATAAAAAAATACAACAAATAAAGAATAATAAAATATGTTAAAATAAATAAAATAATAAAAATTGGATGATTTATTGTATATATTTTATTAGATTTTTTTATTATATATGATTTAATTAGATTTATTATTATATAACAAAATAATATATTATTTATTTATTACATGTTAAAAACAAGGGGGAGAGAAAACAAATCGACAAAAGAGAGAGAAGAAGTACAAGAAGAAGAAGAGGAGATGATGAACAAGAGAAGACGAGGAGATGAGAAAAGGAGATCGAGAGAGACGAAGACAGAGAGAGAGAAGAGGAGATCAACACAAATGAAGCCAGAGAGAAGACGACACAGATCTTCACCCTTTTGAAATTGCAACTAGGTTCTCACCTTGCTCTCTTCTCTTTCGTTTCTTCTTAACATAGTCGTATCTGTTTGTGAAGTGCCATATCCTGGCCGTATCCCGCCCCCGTACCCGTGTTGTGTTGTGTAACAAGGGTACCTCAGAAATTCTGAAGAGTCCATGTAACGTAGCATGTGGCAATGCAGCTTCGCCAATACGCGCATGGACCCCACACACCGTCTTCCAGCGGCCATTTTGGCTCGATTTTTTGCACCGTTTGACTCAATTTCTCGAGAGAAATCCAATGATGGTCTCGGTTTTGGCATTCGACGACTCTAAATGAGGGAGTGTTCGACACACACTCTCGGTTAAGAGTAGGAAGCCTCTTATGGCTTCCAACTCTCACCCAAATTAGGGTTTGAGTTTTTCCCTGAACCGTAAGTTGGAATCAAACGCATAATATACTGTTTCGAAAGTCTCGAAACAAGGATTCCAAATATATAAGTTTCACAGCATGAAAACGAAGCGTGTAAAAACAGTATGCAGTCAAAGTTTTGAAAAACAAAAATTGGTCTTCATTTTTATCAAAATCCGACCGTCCGATTTTAATATAATTTTACAAATATGCTCTACATGATATGAACTACAACATATACGAAATTCATGACGATTGGAGATAGTTTGAAAATCATCAATTTTCTTACATGAAAAACATATATGCATATATTCATGCACAAATAACACGAAAACACCTGACAATGGCTCTGATACCAATGTAGGAAAAATGGATTCAGGCATACTTTTTTCTCTCAACCTGAATTCGTGTATCATATGGGTGAATCACATCCCTCCATGATGAACTCGAACAATTTCCTGGAGTGGGGTAGAACTATTAGAGAACAACTCACACAATTCACAGTACGAAGGCATGGTCTTCAATGACAAAGAGTTAGAGAGTCTTTTGCAGAAAAACTTCTCAGTTAAAACCCATAGCCTATAGTACGTAATACATATAGATGCAAGGAATGTGCGCGGTGCGGTTCGGGCGGTTTGAGAGTAAAATTACAAACCGAATGGCGGGTTAACAGATTGGCGGATTGAAGAATATTCTAACTAATTATCATACTTTTGCATAATATTTTTAGACATAATATTTTTTAGATATATAATACAAAGTAATTTTGCATAATATGTTTCATATATATAACCACTAATTTGTAATAAATTTCATATCTTAAATCTCTCACACACTCATTTTTACATTGATATTTCATTGGAAGTTAAAAAACATATGTATTAACTATAATGGTGCGGAGCGATTCGGTTGGCATCCTATAACTTTTAAAGTTTAAACCACGGTTAGCGGTTAGAGCAGTGCGGACTGATGCGAATCGGTGCGGTTTTAGTGAGTTTGGCAGTATTTTGCAAGAGATATAACCACCCATAACTCTATCTCCTCATAAGATGAGATTGTGGGTTATTCACTCTTATCCCTAGGATAACATGGTCTGAGATTCAAACTAATAGGGTCACTAAATGGGTTGCGGGTCAAAACCCGGGTCCAAAACCCAACCCGATTTCTAACATATACAAAAGAAAGGTTTATAGGATGAAAATGGATACCACGCTGATGCTTCTTTTCAATGGTGCTTGTACTCTAGATGAACTTGATTGCAAAATTTTGGGTGACAATGAGTGACACAAACAAAAGAGAGGTCATAAATGGATCATTATAGGATGAAAATAGACCTCATACCACCCTGATTGATAACAGGACAACTTCATCAGCAAATGAGTTGCTATTTCCAATAGTTTCGCAAAATTGAATCCCAATTCTCGGGCTACGCTGGTTTCCTTCATTTTCAGTACCAGGCTATACTTCAAATTCACAGAATCAGCAAAGTTTCTTCAGTAAACAAGTAGGTATCTTGACATCAGTTTAAAAGCCTTCTCAAAGAGCATTTTTCCTACAGTTTATTCACTTGCTGGTACAGAGATTCTACATATAGTAGAATGGAAACATAGATAAAAATGAATAATTGTATTTACATGAAGAAATTACATCTAACTTGAAGAACAGAAAGGAGCAGGAGACACACTATTAGATACTCAGTTAATTTGAAGAGAGAAAATTGGGGAGAAGATATTATCTAAAAGCAGTCTTTCATTCACCATACCTCAAGTGATATAGCACCCCGATCACTCCACGTCATGTGAATGCAGGACCTTCCAAGTGCTGCAAACCAATCATCGCTTCTCCTGTTCACAATCAATGACATGAAAAAGGAGTTGTCATTCAACTATAATACAAGTACCACCCAAACAAAAATGACAGTTCCGTGCTCATTTCAACAATTACAATAAAAAGCAGAGGTTCTGCCCATAATCCATTAGTGAGAATTCTTTCATTTCATACTATGAATTACCAAGATTGAACACGAGCAGGTTATCTTTACCAAAACTATGGGGTTGCACATAAATTTAGTGGCCTAGAATAACAGTGGATCATCTATAATTATCATGCCAAGTTAAACTTGAAAATGGAACACAGTAAATTACACTCACCTCCCTTGAGGTTTGGAAAAAATACAGTTAGCTCCACACTTTTAACATAATTACACCTACCTCCCTCAAGGTTTTAATTCATGTAACACTTGGGTCCTTTTTATCAGTAATTCGTAAATTGTATGGATGAAAAGATGATGTTGTCATATATTTTCTACCAAAATGTACATTTACCTTTGTTTATTTAGTGTCTATCCACCATCTGCATTAGTTTTGATCGCTTTAACTTTACTAAAAGAGAGGTTAGTGTAATTATGCCAAACTTTTGAGGCTAACTGTATTTTTCTCAAACCTCAGGAGAGGTGAGTGTAATTTACCCAATTTTTTAATTGCATTGATCATCCTGAAATAACTATGGGAGCTACTTCTCCTAAATCCAGAGTTGTTAACTTTAACAACTAGTTAAGCAGATCCTAATCTAGTCTGTCTGTAAGAATGACTGCTCCAACTACTCAAGCACACAACTACTAAATCCTGAACTAAAACTTCAAAATATAAATAAAAAATAAACAGAAAATTGAATGCCTCCTCAGAATGCAATAGAACTCTTAGATTGATAAATAATTATTGATACATATCAATAAGCAGGTAAGTGTTGGAATGACCAGAACTACAGTAATATATAAAGAACCAAAAATTTTATGGATCAGAGTTTCACACACAAACAAACAAACAGAAAGAACAAAAAAAACTTGTTTGACCAAATGCAATAGTACAACTTCAAATAACCATGTGACAAGAATGGGTATAACTAATCAGATTGAAAGACATCAACTTTCAATTATCTTACATTATTAGAATTATAGTCTAGATTTTCAAAATCTTATGACCTATTATTAGCATAATGAGAATATCTTAAAAAACTAAGCCCTCCAGTAAGACCAATAAGAGCAAAAGAGAATTCAAAAAGTTTCTTGAGAGCCAAAAATGAAATGTATGCATCAAAATTGATGCAATCTATGCCAATCCACATCCTCGTAAGTCTATTGGTTTTGCTCACCTTAAATCCACCAAATCACACACATACAAG